TTGGAGAGGTAGAGCAAACTTCACAGGATCAATGGCTTTGGCGTGACTTTAAAAACAAAAAGAAAACCCATCTCCTCGACTGGCATGGCCTGATGCCACGAATTTGTACCAACATGAGATCTCAGACTCTAAGCTTCGTCGTTGAAGCAAGGGGAAGATCAATATCGCGTTAATACGCTCATAAAATTTTCATAGCTTAATGTTCGGCACCTTTGCGCCCACCAAATGCGAGATTGGTTCGGAACTATTAGCCTCAAGAGCGTTTAGCAGACATTTGTTTTCTGTTGCAACAATCAATATTGTCTCAGTGGCTTGTGATGATGCCCAACTTGATATCTAAGTTTGCTAGTTTCGCTCCGGAGATTAGTCGCCCACAAACCGATGAGAGAGGTTTGCGTTGTTTTCAACTCCGAAAAGGCGAGAGTTTCTCCTTGGGCGGCCTGGACCATCGTGAACCATTTCCGACGTTTAGCCACAGCTTGGCATCAACTCGGAGTTGCGAGTCATGATACTGGTTAAACACTGGGTCGCAACTGCCCCATCTAGCTCATCGACTGATGGTCAGCCAACACCAGCAGCGGCAGCGCCCGACGGCAACCGTCGGACAGCAGAAAATCTCCCAAAATGGTGAGCGCATCCCTTAAGCTTTGCGTCCCAGCTGTGTGGAATGGGATGGTAGCAATAGCAGACAGGAGGTAACCTCGAAGAAATCCTACATCAAACGGATGGCAAGGACGAGGCAACTTCGAGGTCGCAACTTTTCCGACCAACGTCGGATACTGACCGAGTGAGTTGACGGGCATAGAACCTGTCACATTGAAAAACGGACTTTGGTTTTTATTGGTTAAGTCGCATTTGACAGAGGGTCCAGATGTCGTTTGGCAGACGCTTGGATCGTCAGATCACTTGCCTCAGCCCCTGAACGCTGCACACGGCCGTGTTTTTGACAACTGATTGTTTTGGCTCAATCCGTGAGATTTGAGAGTGCAATGCAAGCAATAATTACCCGCCCGGAATTTACCTGGATGGAGGTCAGACGTGGTCACTGATGAATCTCGAGTTCTTTTGGGTATTTCCTTCAGATTCGGATTATGTACTTGTCAGCCGCACCTACAACTTGGGGGCCGATGTTCCATGTTCAATGTCCCTCGCGTATCGCTTTCCACGACTCATGATCATAACGCCATCGCACGGCCCATCCCAAAAATACAACAAGGCCTGACCCTTTAAGCATACTTCTTGACCATGGTGAGCAGAGCCTCCTCAACCTCCTTGGGGCTCGTGGCGTTGAGGTAGTGACCGCCGCCCTCAACCATCGTAAGAGTTGCCTCCGGCGACGCGGTGAAGAGCTTGATCTGCTCGACAGGAATGTTGACGCCAAAGACGGGGTCGGCAGTACCCTAAACATGATTAGCGCACAGTTCGCTCGCTTACGCTCAACCTGGAGCCGAATGCCTCGCATCCTCGTTCCCCATGGTTGATCCTGCATGCACATACCTGGAGCCAGTAGACAGGGCACTTGATATCCCTGAGTCTCAACAAGAGACCATCGCGGGACAGAAGGTTACCAAGGGCAATCTTAAGCTTCTTGCGGCCCTCGTCGCCCTTGTAGACGGACTTGAGGGTGTTGGTCCAGAAAGCCAGGGTCTCAGGAGGCACGGTGCCAGAGAAGCCCAGGCTGCCGACCATACCGCACCAGATGTCGTCGACGAGGAAGTCAGGCGTCGGGACGGGGCTGGACCAGGCGTCGTAGAAGGCCAGCAGCTGAGCCTTGGGGTCCCAGCAGCCCTTGCCGCGAGAGTCGGCTGACTCGTAGTCCATCGATGTGCCCAAGGGCAAGAGACCCAGGATCTATCATTGTAAAACAACGTTAGCTGAGGAGTCCAAAGTATGCATCGATCAACATTGATGGACACTGGAAAGCAACATCATGTTGCAGCATCTGTGGTCAAATGCAGATGACAGTGTGACAACAGAAGATCACGTGGGTGGTAAGCTACGTACTCTCTCGGGAGCCAAAAGCGCCATGCGGGTGACCATCCAGCCGCCCTGCGAAGTGCCGAGAGCGAAGGCCTTCTCGACACCGAGCTTGTCCATCACCTGCAGGGCCATGATGGCTGTGTCCCAGTAGGTGAAGTGCTCGGCCGGGCAGCTGGTGGAGCCGTGACCGAGAGGCTCAATAGCCAGCAGGTTGACGGCATCGGTCAACGTCTTGCTGTTGAACTGAGCATCGTAGAGGGAGACGGTGGTGCACATGGAGTTGATGAGCACGACGGTGGGCTTGGCGGGGTCGACCTTGTCCCCGGACAGACGGTAGCCGGCCGTGATGCCGCCGAGGTGGGGGACCTGGATCGTAGTTGTGGCGGCCATTTTTGATTCGGCCTCTGCTGACAGGTGCTGTGGGCTTATTTGGCGCGGTTTGAGATTGGATTCCTTTGGGGAGGGGATGGAATGTTCGATTCAGGAAACAAAACTCGCAGCTTGGCTGGGGTACAGGCAAAGAAGGTTTGATTTAGTAGTAAGTTTGAAAGCAGAATGCGGGTTTCTTTCTTGTATTTCCCACCGCAAAGACGCTCGTGGCACCTCGTGCGGCCTGCCGACTGGACATGGCAGACATGGCAGCGGTGTATTTCAAACGACCGGCTCCGCCGAAACCCTTCGAGTTGTAACCTCCGTGCAGTAGCTACCGGGAGGGTTTCCCAATAGAGCCATTTCACGGCGAGGCATGTCCCTGCATTCAAAGCGAGTGGAGGAGGGCAGAAAAAAAACGTCCTGTGAAGCTCCAGCGACCATCCGGTTCGATTCGCCAGCGCCGGTCCCAAGGAGGGGGGATTTGGTCAATGCCTCTGTGACGTTTCCATGGCATGTGGGTAACGGGGAGCTTTGTTGGACGCGAGGAAAAGATCAACAGCACGCGTATCGGCTCTTGGGGATTGTCAGGGGACTCCCATCACTCCTATCCGTGTTATCGCCGAAGCACTGGCCGCAGACATTCGATGGCACATGGGCAGATGTGGACACGAGTCAGGTCCGTCCAACCGAGGGGCGAAATGAGAACAGTCCACGTTCTCCCTGCCTAGCGCCGAGTCTTTGGCGCTATTGACACCGAAGTGTCCGAGGTGACAGCAGCGGCGTAGCGTCCTGAAGGTTTGCATCTCATTGCCTAAGAAGAGCTAGAGTAAGGGGCCCGGACGATGGACAGCGGGTCTTTACGAACGAGACGGCGTTGCGAACTTTCGATGATGGTCGTGAGAGGTTCATCCAATGCCGTTTTGGGTGGTGTCAATTGTGTGCCATCCCCGGTTGAGGAAGACGCCGTCGTTTTGGACTGAGCGAGCCGTTGAAAGTCAAAATTCATCCCGCCCGTTCTAAGAGAAACGAACCGTCGGGAGGGACGGGAATATCGTTCCTCTAGTTTCAGTCTTGCTGATTTTCTGCTCGCAGATATGGTCTGGCGTCCTTTTTGGCGTCAAGTCTGTGTGGTTGTTGACGTGCAAGCAGTGCCCGACTCTAATCGCACAACATGTTGTCTCTCAATCAAAGTCTGGAATCCTTCTGGTCGGATTCTTCAGCGGAAAGCCGGCTGGGTCCGAGATCGCCACACGCACGCATGCCTTCAACAGCTACCGAACAACCGGTGTTCCCCCCAATACGACCGGCTTCTGAGTGCTAAATCCCTCCGCGGCCACTGACGACGCGCTGCGTGGTGACGCATGCAGCCGCCGAGACACTCGCAGGCTCGGTTAGAGGGCCCCCCTGTCGATTCTTTTTGGTCCTGGGTGGCGCAAAACCGCATGCGGAATTTATATGTGTAACGAAATAAAACCGCACTCAAATATCTCCCGACGGCGAGAACCCCGGCCCGACCAACAGGCACCAGACAGTGACACCACTGCTGGAGGCTAGAAGTCTTGGAAACACCACCCGATACCCAATCGAGTGGTTTTCAGGGAGGCTGCCCGGCACCGGAATCCGGCGTCCGGGATGATCCCCATTAAGGCCTGCCATTTGCCCCCAAATTTCTTGACCAATGCTGTGGAGAACGAGTCCGAAATCATCAACCTCGTTCGACCTTCAAAAGGCCTGACGCTTAACTGCGCTAGTAACCTTGGTCCACAAGGCGTCGAGGAAAAAAGAGGAAAAGCCCGCCCGTATTGTGGACGGTCATATTCCAAAATCAAAACAAATATGATAGGAAGACTGGAATGAGGCGAAAAGACCCCTACGAATCACAGAAATGCCTGGGTATTAATGCGGCTTGTGCTTTGGAGCTGAGCTCACCGAGCCAGGGTTGATGTCCGTGATGCCCGACTTTGCCTCGTGGCATCGATGAAATTCTGTCAGTCATCCATCATCAAACCTCTTGTCTGCCCTGTCCTTCGCGTCCACCAACCCCTCTCAGTCCACTCCCTCTTGCTGATCAACTTGCCCTTTTTGTCGACCGGCACGTTTGACATATAAACTGATTCCCCTCTCACAACCGCTTTGGGAATGATCCAGCTTGCGGTCGACCGGAGAGATGCATTACACACAACTGAGTTAAGCACGAAAAGCAAGAGGGCAGTGAACCGAAGTTCTCTCTTTCCCCAGTTTTCGTACCATCATTACCACGTTGTCCAGGGGTTCGCACTCTTGTCAAAGCCGTCCAAGGTTCCTGCGCCGCCCAGGGGTAGGGGCACCAAAACCGGCACTTCGCGTGCAGTGTCGAGGGATCGTGCCTGCAGAATAAAGCGACGAGTGGCCCTGTCCATATGAGCCTCCGGCGAAGGGTGGTCTCCTCCCCCGGGTTGATGAGCGACCGTTTGAAGCGAATTGCGCCGCCAACCCCTTTGCTTTTGTCCTTCGGTTGAGAGCTATCAGGCTGGGTCCTCTCCTCACTCCCGAAGGAGCCTTTTCTCTTGTTCCTTTCTCCTCCCCCGCGATCGAGTCCAACTTTATTTTCTGCCCATTGTCGAAGTGAGTGAAGGAAAGGGGCGTGAGAGCGTACGAGCCGAGTCACAATGTCGTCCTCCGATGCCTCGCCATTACCCGGGCTTCCCGGTTACGATTCACAGAATATCCAGCCATGGACCATCGAAGTCGTCGTCTCCGTGACCGTTCTCGCCCTCCTGTCCGTTGGTCTTCGTCTGTGGAGTCGTCATCTCAAGGCACAGAAGCTGTGGTGGGATGATTACCTGATCATCTGGTCGATGGTGCGTCCCTATCCTCGAAATTGACGTTTATAGCGTCATTATCTGGAGTGCTGGGCCTTGGACTAACTATGACGCAGTTATGGAACATCGTCGTCGTAGGATTCATCTTTGCCATGCACTCAGTAGTAAGTAAAGCCCCAATTCGAAGATGAATTGCACATTCTAACCTCTCAAAGGGCATGGGCGTCCACGCCGACAAGGTCGAGATGGATAACATCGTCTTGATGGCCAAGTTCCTTGTCGTAGCAGAGATCCTTTACGCATGGAACCTGGGCTGGACGAAACTGAGCTTGCTGCTCATGTACTACCGCATCTTCCACATCCCCTTCTTCAAGAAGATGACCTGGGGTGTTGGAGCATTCGTCTTTGCCTGGGTTATTTGCATCACGTTCCTGTTCATCTTCATCTGCGTGCCCGTTGAAAAGCTGTGGTACCCCGATCTTCCGGGCCGCTGCATCAACCAAGTCGCGACATGGATCGCGAACGCTGCCTCGACCATCTTCACCGATCTCCTGATCCTTCTCATGCCTATTCCTCAGGTTTGGAAGCTGCAGTTGCAGAAGGCTGAGAAGATTGCCCTGACCTTCGCCTTTGGCCTTGGTTTCTTGTGAGCCCCCTATTTGTTACCCCCGATCTTAGGGGATCGGAGGGCTCCCCGTCATGCGATGCTAATCAGTTGCTAGTGTCGTCTTCACCTCTGCCTACCGAACGAGCGTTCTTTTCACCTACAGCAACCTCGACCCAACCTACACCCTCGCCCCGACCGTCGGCTGGACCGCCATCGAGATGTCTGCCGGCATTGTCTCTGCCTGCCTTCCTACCCTTCGACCCGCCATGCAGAAGGTCGCCCGAGCCTGCGGTATCAAGGGCAGCATGGGTGGTATGTTCAGAGTTGGAACGGCGATGGGATTCGGCTCCAAGAACAAGTCCAACTTCAGCAACGGAATGTCGTCGCAAGACCCAAACGCCACAAACGTCAACCGCAGCCAGTCGACCACGAAGCACTCAGCGGGCGGTGACCCTTTTTATCGACTCTCTGACGAGAACGGATCCGACGGCCGGAGCGGCGACCGCACGCCACCCCTGAATGACCGGAAGCTGCGTCCCGACGCTGACGGACTTGGTTTCGGATATACTGTGACGAGCTACCCTACCAAGCCTGACGACAAAAGCGAGGATGAGATTCCGTTGCACTCGATTCGTGTTCAGAAGGATTTCAAGCAGACAACTACATGATGACCTGCTGTCGGTGGTAGCTGCATCATATCTGCTTGTGGGAAGGTCTCTACGGGGAAGTGGCAGAGTTGTCGTCCAAGAGGCGACTACAATCACGCTTGACCGAAGAACACTATCTATGCTGGATGAAACAAGTCACCAAACTATTTTACGAAGTCAAGGAAACAATCAATCGGCCGGGAAGATGGCAACAATTCGGCGATGGTACACACCAAGGGGGATCACGGCGCAGATGGGGTTGGAAATCGGGTCTGGATGCTGACGACATGTCACAAAAGCGAATCGTTAACTATGTACCTTAATCACTGTACAACTACACGCTGGTATAATACTAGGTGGAATACTACCATATGAGACTTACGTGTAGCTGTCAGAGCTTATCTTGCCCATATCGCTTCTACTGCTGAAAACTTGCGGCGCAACTCGTCAGAGCTATCGTAACTTAGTGATACGTCTGTTCTCTACTGCATGAGAAGTAATCCTTGCTGATCACTCTGATGATGTGAACCAGTGCTTGTTTCGGCGTCAAGTCTGACCTGAGGGCGGAATCAGGATCGGAGGCATTGTTGCAACTTTCACAAATACTTGATCATCAATGCTCTTAAGTTCATGCTACGCTGGTCGTATTCAAAGAGGCTTGAACTCGAGCGATAAGAATCATTCTTCAGTCATCGCAACTCTGTTGTCATTTGCCAGCATGACCTACGTATTCATCTGGGAGGCCCATGCTTGCAAGCTTTGCTACGTGGGCGTAGTCACACGATGCCTTCTTGTGGCCCATGAGTTATCTGTCTTCCCCATCGTCCTCGCCGTACCAGGAGCTTAAAGTATCATTTGATTTCCTTGTTCGTCAACATCGGATGATCATTTCAGCAAATGTCTTCCTCAACATGTCGCTTTCCTCGACGCATGAATTTACGAAATCCAGACGATGAAGACTTTCAAGGTCTCCTATGGAACGTCAAGATCGAATTACGGCATCCGAATATTCAGACGTCTGATAAAAGCACCAGTCAACGTGTGTTCATTGCGAATCAACGTGTCTGCTCCCCCGTGCCGCCTTCATCATTACTTGGAGTGACGCTGTCTATCATCGGCGACCTTCATGGACATAGCCATTCAACCAGCTCGGGTTACTCAGCATAATTAGGATCATTAAACCCCCAAGCCTGGAGGTCTCCTGACGATGACAATTGGCGCAGCACCCCGGACCCGATCTTCCAATTTTGGGTCCAGCGCCACGTCATGGTGGAGAGATCAGCAGACGTTCGTGAAAGAAACTACTCCACCGAGACGTCTCAGTCCCGAAAGTATCTCACCAATATTGCCAGATTATGACACGCTTTTATGGCCCTGCATTCCTATATTATTTCTCGGTCGACGACTCACCAAGCGTCGCTGGAGGTACTTCTGAAAAGCACTGAGGTGGGCTCTGGTAGTCTATCCATCCATAATCGTGGGTTGACGTCTGGTCCATAAATTGCGCGGTCAAGCAGCCCAACATGCGAAGGTCGACAGAGAATACAACCTGGGAATCGATCGAGCGTCGTGGTTGACGTTTAAGCCTCCGCAGTGCAAGTTGATCCCAGTGAGGAAATGTTCATGCACATCATATGAGTGCATATCATATGTGCACAGATGATCTCATTCTTTCATTTCCTCCTGACTTCCGTAAATTACATGCCAAGGCACACTATCATACTGGCCGCCAATTTTGCACTTGTGAAGGTTTAAAGAATCACAACGAAGGCTATGGCTCTGACTTTTATGCCTCGAAAATGGCTAATACTGGGTTGAGGCTTCGCAGATAATCTTCTGTTCCAACACACGTCACTTTGGGTTGAAATGTTGAGAAGCTTTACACCTACACACAGGAGATTAAGTGCTCTTCATGGTCCCGTAAATGGTCTTGATGAGTTCTCATGGATACGACTTCGTCAGTAAACAGGTTTCATGCGCTCTGCATTAGTTGAGGTCAAATAATCGTATGAGTCAGCCGTCCTCAGTGAACATTTTGTTTTTCATGGTCACCCTATTTCAGAGCACCTTATCTTTCATGGTATGACAAACTTTACACCATAGGAGAATGTTCAAGCTGTCTATTGATTCAGAACACGTGCCACTTGCAAGCAATACCGACCGTTACCGGCCGTTCACTGTGTCACCAGATCAGTTCTAGGTCTTCGCCGAAGCTTCGGTTACAGTGAAAGTTTGCATACTCACCCGGAACACGTCCTATACTGGACTTTGCGAGAATCTGATGAGCCAGCATGTTAACACTGAACACTACCTCAGCTACATCACTCTATGGAGCTCACTTGAAAAGAGATCCTCAGTATAGTGTGCTTCTAACTACACAATCTCCAACGAATATAGGTACGACGCGTGCAAGTTGAGGGCAATCACATTACGATTCGAAGCAAAGTCTGTGATGAAGTAGATCAGAATGATTATGGGAATACATGATTCACAGTCGAACACGAAGCATTAGGATCCCGCGCATATCAGCCTTCATTCATCTCATAATTCCAAGCTCAATGCCATGCTGTCTTTGGCAGAGCCAGGATCACCTTCAAGATATTCTTAGAAGGGTCGGATTCACTTGCTGCAGGCCTTCAGCTGACCATGAGTGTTGCTGATAAAGTACATACGCATGAAGAATTAAAGACAATGAGCCGGGGCGGCACGTTTCGCAACACAGGAAATCATGTGTACCTAGTACGCCAAGTATCTCTTTTGCCTTCTACTTTCATCTGGCTCTACTGCAAGGGTCTTCAGTTCAGCTCGAGATCATCCAATGCGCAAGTCAGCACCAACACAAAATTGCAGAACCCCACCACGATATTGGTCCCTGGCATTTTTCTATTTAGTCCAGCGCTTAGGATCGGGAATGACGTTTAATTCTACAACCAGATTGGAGCTAGGGAGTCCTCCTCTGGGCGATCTCGAGGGAAGATGGTGTGCAGGCACCAACAAATACGGGATTGGGAATCCCTTGCGCGCCTCACTAGTCCGCCTCGAAACTAACTTCCTCTCACCGGTATGAACACACATACAGCTGAACCATGGTTTGTCACCCAATGAACACCGACTCTGACTGATAGAACATAGGGCGGTCACCGAATCCTCGGGAATTAGCGCGGGATGTCGTGTCGGTGTTTAGATTGCGACCCCTGCAACTTGGCGTTGCAGTTGTTGGTTCCAGCCGCCATACCGAAGTGGGCAGGGAGGGATTCAGCTCCTTCATCCAAACATCAACGTTCAGCTCGCAGCCTGATGTGTGATTCCGAGTGGGCCGTACCTTCGGAATCGACGGCAGGAAGGTGGCATTGGCTCACAGACTGGCGGTTAACCCCAAGCTCGGCATGACTCTATTTCTTACGGGCAGTGTCAGGCTCGTCTTAAATCCTGACATTGGCACGCATCCTACTGGTCGTTACTTACCCAATTTTGGACGAGGCCCAGTTTGTCAAGTAGAAAATGTGATGATTGTTCCTCTCATTCGTGGTGATAAGCTAGCAGTCGACTGAGAGCACGCAAGGCTCTCGTATGAAGCCCGCATGTGCCAATTTGCATGGGGGTAGCCCCCGAGTTCATGCCAATCCTTCAATGTTGCCGCCTGATTGTGTTGACGTGATATGTGAGCTTGTTTAGTGCCTTTGTCCATTACTTGGAACTCCAGTGGCGATGAAGCCGGCTGCATCGCGAGTTCAACTTGCGATCATTATTTCTGCCCGCCCCCGCAAACAAGCAAGGGCAATGGATGATGGATTGTCACTTCCTGCGTTGGAACATGCCCGGCAGGATTTAGTTGCTGCCTGGGATGATGGGTACGTCAGCCGAGAGACCCACCATGCTTTGCTGCGTGCTCTTGTCCAACCCCTCCTGTTGGGGCTTAATATGCAAACCCCCTCATCAAGCAAACATCAGTAATATTGTCGAGTTTCAAACATCGCATCGTGACTATGAAAACGAAGGGTAGGTGCAGCAGGTAGCACAATGATTCGGAGTTTGCCAAGCATCGGGGTAAACAAATGTCACTGTGTCTCCGCGGAACGCACGCTCTCCGTGGGAGAGCCACCACGTCTAAGTTCAAGACTCGCGGAATGACGGACAGCAAAGGACACCGCGCTTGCTGTCAAAAACAACGGGATGAACGGTAGAATAGCAGCAAGCAAACTGAGACATTAAACAATTGAACCGCTTACCTATCCCAAAAACCGCGCAATCCCTCGTTCGCCCGTAAATCCAACACCAATTTCCTTTCTTGTTATTTCCTCACCATAATCCAACTCACTTGGCGAGACCAGCCGCACTATCGTCATGCTGCTCTGCCGCAAAAGTGCAGCATTGCAAAAGGTCCCCAAACCAAACGCATTACCGTGGCGTCTCCAATCAATATTACCTGGACCCAACCGGTTTCATCACAAGTACTCGACTCTGAAGCGAACTCAGCCCCCAGATGTGGTTGTCGTCGGCAGTGGGATAGCCGGGGTATGCGCGAGTATCGCGGCGGCGGAAAAAGGCGCAAAGGTGCTCCTTCTCGACGATGCCCACGGGGGCGGCGCATCCGCGCTTTCGGGCGGCGTCGTATACGCTGGAGGTGGAACTAGGCAGCAGAAGGAGGCAGGCTATGGGCACGACTCACCGGACAACATGTTTGCCTACCTGAAAGAGGAAACGGGGGACGCAGTCGACGACAAGACCTTGCGCAGGTTCTGCGACGAGAGCGTCCAGCGAAACGAGTGGTTGGAGAAACACGGCGCACGATTCGAGGCATCCTTGTGTCCGTATAAGACGAGCTATCCGACAAATCAACACTATCTGTACTTCTCTGGCAATGAGAAGTCGCATCCTTTCAACAAGGTGGCGGAACCGGCTCCGAGAGGACATCGGATGGTCCAACCAGGTTTCTCGGGCGGGGAGCTCTGGCGCGTTCTATTCGAGTCGGCCTTGGGACTTGGGGTTGACTTCCAGCCTGCCACGAAAGTCGAAAGAGTCCTGTTTGATGGCCAGGGCAAGACAAGTGGAGTAGAGATCAGGACAATGTCCAATACGAACTCTCTCTTTGCCAAGCACGAGAGCCTGGTCAAGAAGATCAAGAAGTATCAGCTGATGGCCTCACAGTTGGCGGACAAGTATCACCAACAAGCTGATAAAATCTGGCAAGAACATGCCGTATCAGAAACGATCCACTCGCGGGCTGTCGTGCTGTCAGCCGGCGGGTTCGCCTTCAATCACGAAATGCGGCAAGTTTTTCTCCCCGAGTTCTCCACCGTCGCACCCCTTGGAACACAGGGCGATGACGGGTCTGGAATCAACATCGGCGTCGAGGCCGGGGGTGCAGTGTCCAACATGAACAAGATGTCCGCCTGGCGTTTTCTGTACCCACCAACAGCCCTGGTTGAGGGTGTTGTCGTGGCCCAAGACGGCAAGCGATTTGCAGCCGAGGACATGTACGGGGCGACTCTAAGCGACATCATGATTCGGGATCACGACGCGAAAGGATTTCTGATTCTTGACTCAAATCAGTGGGCTAAGGCCAGGGGCCAGTTGTTTAAGCAAACAAACTTTCCTCTGTTGGTTCAACGACTCCACTGGCTTTACTGGGATTACAAAAAAGCAAGTTCGCTCGAGGCGCTGGGCAGCAAACTCGGCGTCTCGGCCGAGGGCTTGAAAAGTACGGTGGAGGGGTATAACCGGGACATTTCGAGCCGGAATGAAGATCGCATGCATAAGGCCTCAGAGTACTGCACACCGCTGTTGAAGCCCCCCTTCTACGGCGTTGACATCTCGTGCCGCGTGGGAGGCATTCAAGCTGTCAATGGCCTCACTCTTGGCGGCCTGCGCGTCGATGGAGACACGGGGCTGGTCCTGACAGGGGAAGATAAGACCATCCCCGGTTTATATGCAGCTGGGAGAACTGCCGTCGGAGTTTGCGCCAACGGGTACGTGAGTGGGTTGTCAATCGCTGATGGGGTCTTTTCTGGCAAGCGAGCCGGGGAACATGCGGCGCGAGAAAACAAGTGACGAAGACACAAGGCGGACGAAAGAGCAAAAGAAGGGATACATGATCTCTAGGATAAACCACATCAATAAAAACATTGCAATTTGGTATCTTTGCAACCCCATGAATGTCTATAAGGAAAAATCAGAAAGCCTCCACCCAAAACCATAAGCAGGACACGATGTCCGGTATCTCGTCTAAAGTATTCCAACTCCTTCGTAAACGCTGATAAACGGCCACCAAGCATCATCAAGGAAATAATTGACTCGGCTTTTGTGAAATCCAAGACGCCATAAGCACGCAGAACTTTTTAAACACCCGGAGAAGGAAGGCGCATAATGCGAGTTTGTCGCACTTCAGCCCCCTCTGCACCCAGGTAACGGCCGCTCTCGTAACTGCAATTCATGTTCAGGGGGTGCATGATTCAAGCGTCGGCCAGAACGACTCACCTCCAGTGCAAATTGCCAAGCGCAATGTTGCGGCAGCCGTCGAGGTACCTGAGGACCTCCCGATCGATCTTCTCGCCCCAGAGGGGCATTCTCACCATCGCGCCGTACCATCTCTTGTAGCACTCATCGATCATGTCACCAATCTTATCCACAGCAGCCTGGGTTGAGTAGCCCTGCGCCTTAAGAAGCGAGATGAGGTTGTGGTCAACTCCTTGCTCCTACATACGGACGTAAGCGATGCGAGCATGGAGATTGGCTGGTTGGTTGTATACTTACTAAGTCTTTGCGATATGAGAGGATGTCGTTGACACTGCACTGGTGTAAGCGAACTGCAAGTAGCTGCAGGCTGTCATACTAGGCAACTTACAGAATGACGAGATCAGATGCAGTTTGCATGCAGGTTTGGACCGACTCGTGGTCAACCTGCTCCTGCGAGATGCTAATTCCGTGCGCATACCTGGAGGGAAGATCTGTTAGCCACGGAACGAAAGAAAAGGCTTCATCTGGCACCCACTCAACGAGGGCGTAGCATGGCTCGCAGGCAATTGTCGCCCTTCTGAAGTCCATGTACTGCTTGACTGAGATCTTCAACGCCTTTTGTGATTCCTGCACCTTGACTTGACCAATCAGGCCTTCAAAGTAGCCCTTCATGGATGCCCTGTAGCGAGCTTGTAACTCTGGTGATGTTCTCTGGGAAGAGTAAGTCTTCATGAAGCGTACGAAACTTGAAGCAATTGAAATATGACCTTCTTGAAACGATCCCAAGTTGTCTGGAATACGTAGTGAATGGGGTTGTCGTCACGCTGCACTGGCGGGTTCTTGTCTTCCAAGATTGCCATGTGAGCATCAAGCTCCTTCTGCGCCTTGATGGGGTCGTCTTTCAAATGGCCTTCATCGAATTCTACAATTTCCTGATTAGTCACCAATAGAGGCGAGGGTGTACCATGCCCACATACGATCATCGAAAGCAAAGACCTTGATACGGGTGTTAGTCGGAATATCTGAAACTTTATTGCGTCGTCTGATAACTCACCCAGTTGTTCCAATCCAGCATCACCCGGAAAGACTCCTCGTCGGCGTACGGAATCCACATGGCGTTCATGAACGCAAAATTGGCTCGTGAATGCTTCTTCGCCTGTGCATCGCTGAGGTGGTAGATGCTGGCCGTTCGTTAGCGTGATTTCGTGCAGATGATCACCGGGCCTGTCTCAAATCACGTACTCCTTGATCCATGCGTTGGCCTCCTCCTTGAGCCGCTCCCAGTTGACATTCATGGCGGGCTCGACGGACATGATGGACGAGAAACAGTCCGGAATCCGGACGTATTGGGCGTCGGCCGCCATGATGTCACGCAGGTTGCGGTCGCATGCCGCGCTGCCATGATCCGAAGGCGAGGTCTGAGTTGCAGTTGCTTGGTACTCGGAAACTGGGGTAGCTGGCGGCGATGAAGATTCTGAGGGACTAATATCCGACGCGGTGGTAATCGAGGGGCGTCTTCCAAGCATGATCCTTTTCGAGGGAACCACATCGTTAGACGAGGGGTCCATGTCTGTGGAGGCCCTCTTGCAAGAGACCCTGTACCTGTCGTCTGAGCTCATGTTCGGCGTGGAAGTTGGCTGAGTTTGGGAGCGAGATTGGGATCTCTCAGAAAGTAAAAAAGGGTTGAAAAGAAGGCGGGAGATGGCGGCGTTCTTCAATTTGTGTCTTTTGGTTCGTCCGTCCAGGGAATATGTAGCTTCGCGCCATTTATGAGTATGGCAAGTGCAGCCCTATGCGGCCACACCTTATAATTGAGAGAACAGACCTGGAGCCACACAGCTAAGTGACCAAACATCATCCTCCACCCCGACTTCCCATCTTGTCTCGTCGGTTGGCTAAGGCCGAGCGGACTCACCTGTCGGCGCAAGCCCCCAAAGGTCTGGACGTTCCTGCAGCAGGCAAACCTGCACACCAAGCCATTGACAAACAGGACTCCGCCTCGACAGAGATGTTGACCCCAAGGACACCGGTCAGGCTGCCCTTGTGACTAACTAGGAAGCCTAGGACGACCGGGAGAAGAGACCCACCCCCTTCTGCGAGGGTTTCGTCACCGCAAGCGAAAGAGGCGGCGATTATTGTCCGAACCACAGAAGGGCGAGTCAAGGAGTTGATCTTAGCTCCGCTAGGAGGGTCAGGGACTTGGACACATCACCATAGACATGGATGTCCCAGTCCCAAGGCAAGGCCAAACTCTGATTTTCCCAAGTTGACAATTCTGGGGGCGTAAGAGTCCATAGAAGCTGACAGGCATTTACTCAAAAGAGACATAACTGTGGCCGTCGGTGACTCGGTGTCAGCAATGTCAGCCTTCGCCTTGCTGCACCGCCATTGGCGTGCATTGGAGCCTACACATTTCCAGCGGCCACTATCCACGTAAAAGTCCCCTCAAGAAGTTATCTCCTCTCACTGGGGACCCTAAGGTGCACCATGTGACAGCATCGCGGCACTTGGAGCCCGTGGAGCTAGGTATTGTGTGTAATAATGCGCGACTGCGCGTTGAGGTTCCGCTTGTAATGCCTAGGATACCCCTTTCGGGGGTACCGATTACAGACTTGTACCTAGCACACAGAGCAAGATCCGTTCTGTCTGCAGGTTTCCCTTTTGTACCTACTTGGGGGAACTGATGCAACCCTGCTATCACATTGGGGAGAGTGGAAATCCCCAAGAAAAGACCAGATTCGGTCTGGTATTACCCGGACAAGAGTTAGGACGCCGAAGTCTGAACTTTGCTCAATTGGAAAATCAAAAAAACACGTTGTTGTGGCTAGGATTGCTTGCTTGCCGGTCGCAGATACTGGGATTTCCCTGCCTTACAGCCTGCTAGATTCACCGAAGGAGAGGATAGCAAATCGTCCCGAGCCGCTAAATGTTGGCGGCGCTGCAGGTTCGCGGCGCAGACAGCCAGACACAGTCCACATTCCGTCGGAGTGTTTTCATAGGCCCCGCGGTCTTCAGGTCACTAGCCTATGAGAGAGTAGCCATATGAGATGCCGGGATGGTTCGCAGTGTGTGGGCTCGGCTCTTGGTCTTGAGGGGTCCGCAGGTGCCTCCAGACTCCAGAGGCCAAAACCGTGGTGCCAAGGAGAAGAAACCCCCCCGGAAGACATGGAAAGACTCGTGGTCCCGTTGGATTGATCCCGCCAGAAGGGGTCGGAACTCGAACATCAGGGGCTGGTTACATCGCATCGCACAAGAATAGCCAATGAGACACAACATGTTGACTTGTCAACAGTTGTCAGATGTTCTCATGCAATGTTTGTCCGATGTTCGTGTGCAATCCGGCGAGGATCTCGTTCGCTGAAGAACTCCACGGAGCACTGCAAGTGGATCGTGTCACGGAGAGGACTATCAGACGATGCCGCTTCCGGCAGTGGAGAGCTGCCACAAAAGGATCACAACCAAGTTCCGCCTAGAAGGAACAGCGACCGCGCCTCTTGACAGGTCCTGTTTCAGTGACATCTCATGTAAAGGATGCCCGGGCAGCCACCAAAATGAATCAACGGGTCTCAGCACTCAGGCACTTCAGCCCTAACCCGAACATTTCGGGAAGCAAGATGCGAGGAATCGGCCCCCAAACCAGTGGCGCCCCAAATCCATAAGGCGGCAACACCGAAAGTGATGTAAGCCATTGTCTGCTGCCTTACAGCCTCGACTGCTGCCTTGACTGTCAGCCCGTGATCCGTCGAATGACCAATTCAGCCTCTCTGCATCCAGGCAAACATACCAAATAACGCCCTTGTTCTGTTTGTCTGAGTAACACGGCAGCGCTGCTTCAGGGCCAGAGGCATCGAACGGCACAGTAGGCCCACGCTAATTTAGCGGTGAGGGCCATAGCGACGTGCGATTGATGAGTTGATGGGGTCCCGCAGATGTCCTGCATACTTACATATACCTAGGTTCAACCCCCAATGGAGAAAATGATCAACGATTGGCTCGATCAGGGATTCTCGACGCTGTTGCCGCCTGCTGCCTTTCCTCGAAATAGCGAGAGTGCCTTGGTCGACCATTTCCAACTTGGGCAACACTATCTTTGAGTGCAGAACCGTGCAGCGCGGCGACTGCGAAAAGGCCATAAGGGAAGCGAGATTCGCCAAATCTCATCCCGTTGGCTCAGACCTCTTCGTTCTATGCGAGTCAATTGTATTACTTCTACCTCTCTCTTTTCTCCACGCACCCTCTCTTTTCTCCACGCACCCAAGGCGATCGCTTCTGAAGTCGACCGACTTCACCCAGATCGAAACATGGCCCTGAAGCTTCTGGGCCACCAGAGTCTCCTGAGCGACGCCCCGCGAATTTTTGTCGTGGGGCTTGTGCTCTATGCCGTCGGACTCGTGGCCTACAGGCTCCTGTTCCACCCCCTCAGAAACATTCCTGGCCCATGGTACGCTGCAGCCACTTATTGGTATGAGTTCTACCAGGATGTCATCCTGGACGGCCATTTCATCAAGGATTACCCCAAACTCCACGCTAAGTATGGTGAGTGAGATCCCCATGCCCGAACCCGACTTCACGGACTGATCCGAAGCAGGACCTGTTGTGAGAGTATCACCAAGCAGAGTGCATGTCTATAATCCAGAATATTTCAAAGAGTATGTTAGCAATTGAGTATTCAGTGGGAAAAGTGTAAACTAACATCATCATCAAGGGTCTACGGAAATGGCACCAAGTACACCAAGGACCCTGATTTCTTCCAGAGCGGAGGCGGTATCAAGTATTCCATCATCATGTTGATTGATCCTGAGGCGCACAAGCAGCGCAGGAACACTGTGAAGTCAATTTTCTCGCCAAAACAGATGGATCAGTTGGCCCCCGTCGTTCTTGACGTCGTCAAGAGGGCCATGGCAAGGGCCCAGAGGTCATTCGAGAAGGGAGAAGCTATCAGCATGCAGCCCTTCTGGCAGGCCGTGACAGTAAGTTTTACCGTTGTTATTGATTCTAATCTGTGACTTTTGCTGGAAAGGTTGCTAATTTATGTTCTTTGCTGAAGGTCGATACCATTATGCCTGTCCTATTCGACAGAAACATGAACTTGGTTGACCAGGATGAGGAGTTTCCCCCCTTCTTGGACATCATGGAAAAGTTTGCAGAGAACTTCCTGATTACGAAGCACTTTCCGTTTCTCATTCATCTTGCCATGGCTATTCCTATGAGCATCGCTCAAAAGCTACTGCCGGGATATGCTCAGTTCCGCCACGTAAGTAAATCCTCAGGTGACCCACGTCCTGAAGTTGCATTGCATATCGCCTAACACAACTCCCGCAGCAATGTTCCGAGTGGATTCAGGAGATTGAAGACAAGCAAAACGCTGGAATTGATACCGCTTCCGATGGCCGAAGCACATATTTTGATACTTTGCTGAGCACCAAAAACACAAAGATGTACCACAAGCTGAGCCGCGAGGCGCTTGTTGACGAAGCTCTGGCTTTGTGTTTTGCAGGCACCGACACAACCAGCTTTGGCCTGACCTTCGGCACTTACTACTTGCTCAGGCATCCTGACAAGTTGGATAAGGTGCTTGAAGAGTTGAAGACTGTTGACACCAACTCAGAGGGTCTTTATGAGTACCGTGACATCAGCAGCCTACCTTATTTGGTGCGTGGCTCATTCAGCGCGTGGTTTTGAGGATGTGCTACTGACCTTTAACATGTAGAGCGCGACTATCAAGGAGATTTTGCGTCTCTCCTCTCCAGTACCTGGCATCATCCCGAGAAGAGTCCCCAAAGGCGGCGCCACTGTTGACGGCTACTATCTTCCGGAAGGAGTAAGTATTGCGCCTTTTCCGATATTGCGTGCGGTATGCTGACTCTACTTGCCTCACAGACAACTGTCTCGCAGACTCTCCGCACTATTCATGACAACCCTGATCTATTCGCCGAGCCTGAGAAATTCATTCCAGAACGTTGGCTCGGAGAACAGGGATGGGCGTTGGAGAAGTATTTCGTTCCATTCAGCAAGGGACCGCGATCCTGTTTGGGCATGAAGTAAGTTTCAATACGGTAGTCTGGTCAAATCTGAACAAAGAGCTAATCATCCATAGTGTTGCTTATGTTGAGATGTACCTCAGCATCGCAAACTTCTTCAGCCGGTTCGACATGAGTCTTTACAAGACAGACGAGACGACAGCAATCTGGATTGACAGTGCTGCAGCCAGGATCTGGAAACCTATCAGAGTCAAGATTGACTCCATCAAATAACATCCGTAAAATTGAATATGCACTCCCATTGAATAGCGTGAACAGGTTTGAATCTGCTAGGTATGCGACAGCGTCCCGGCTTGGCATGAGGAATTATTCACTAGGCGCATGGAATCCGGGAGAAACCGTCTTCGTTTATAAGTAATGTTCTATTCTAAACTGCAAATCGTTCGAATGTGAACCGCTGTATGCCTTGCGAACCGCTGTCTACCCTACGAACCGCTGTCTACTCTGTCATGATCCTCCAAGAACAGGCCCCGCGTCTCTCACATCTTTTCCAAGCCTCTCGAAGAATGCGAGACTGGTTGAGGCTGGTCCAGACGTGTGGGTGAGAATACAAAGTCTCCGCACCCCTAGCCCTGGAATTTGCGATTCGATAATCTTTGAAGATGAAGAAGTTGCTTTGCATTGTTCCTTGTCGAAACCGCTGTGTCATGGATGCCATAGAGCGCGGATAGAAGCGGTCGTCTCGAAAAACGCCGTGACCCCTGTCTTTGCAACCGAACCAGACCAGCCAAAAACCAGTGTTGTGTTTCGTTGATATAGTTTGCGTAGTCTGGATCGTTTGTATCTAGACCCGGGATTGAATCAACCCGGCCAAACCTGTGAAAGTTGCGTTCACATTCTCGCCAGAGCCCCCGATACAGAACGCGCATTGTTGCTGGTTGTGCCGTCAGAACACCCACGAGCATATCAAGACCGCCGCTGGCTAACACAGCAAACCCATCGATATCACGACTTCGGTTACGTGCTACCACGTATCTCCGGTTGGGTGGAAAATCATACTGTCCCACGCGAGGCGCATGTTCACACTCCTCCGGCATGTATCGTGGAGGTTGTTGGCGAAACGTCTGAAGAGGACTCATTTCATGTTGGGCAAGCACCGCGCGGTGTGTCATGATGTAATACTCGCGAACGCTCCCAAAGAGCTTGTGGTCGGAGGCTGGTGTGGAGTTGTGGAAGAGATCATTCCAGTCAAACGTATGAAACCTGGGTTGAGGACCGGCAGGCGCTCTTGCCGCTGTCAAGGGGCCGTAGATCTTGCTGAGAATTTCGTATTGTAGAAAGGCGCGATAAACACGGCACCGCTCATCAGTTTCCATGTTGTTAATGTTGAAACTGTTCGAGTGATGTTGGCGGAGATCTCTCTGGGTGGTCATCTGAGAATAATGTGGGTTTGACCACGTTGGCAACGTTCGGTACGCAAACGGCAGTCGAACACTGGTGGCCTTGGACAAATAGTCGGTGATGACACGTCGCAAGCATCCACAGAGGTTATCCAACCTTTCTATGTGGATCTTGTTGTTGGGATGTTTAGGATCAGAGAATGGGTTCGTAAGCCTGTTATTTCTCCAGTCGTCCAAGTGACGGGATATTGACGCTTCATCCGAACCCGGACCTGGAAACAAGATGACAGCCATCGCGGCTTGGAGAAGATCTCCGCTGAGATCTTTCTGGACTTGCAAGAGGCGGATCTGGTTGCGTGATGAGATGGCTGCGGCACGAAAGGCGTTGGACGCTTGAGTCGCAGCAGCAACATCGGAGCGGCTCGCCATGCTCTCGAGTATCATCATGACGATTTCAGAAGGGATGCGTTCGAACCGAACGGCTGCGTTACGAAAGGCTTTGGACGCTTGAGTCGCAGCAGCAATATCGGAGCGGCTCGGCAGGATCTCGAGTATCATCCGGAGGACTCTAGACGGGACGGGTTCGAACGGATCAGCTGCGTTACGAAAGGCTTTGGACGCTTCAGTCGCAGCAGCAAAATCGGAGCGGCTCGGCAGGATCTCGAGTATCATCCGGAGGATTTCAGACGGGATGGGTTTGAACGGATCCATGGCTGCTGTCGTAGAGAAATCAGGGAAATAAAGCCTCTCAAGTCAAGTAGTCCAATCGACGAGAAATCTGAACAATCTGAATTCGAGTAGTCAAAAACAGCGTGCAATCTGGACAATTTGGAATGGCGCTGGCGTACATGGGGACCAAGGTATATATAGAGATACGCGCCGAGTGAACTGTAAGTGCTGATTCCGTGATTTCACCCAAACCCTCACCGGAAAACCATCGAAGCTAAAACTCAATTCCAATCTCGGTATGGTAAGTCGTCGGGATGTGCACCTGGATGCGAGAATTGAGGCTCCGTGGGGAGCCGCACGGGTTCTCCAAAACCACAAAACCCGGTATCAGGGTGTATTTCTGCAGTTCACACAATAGAGGATGGCCGTCAAAGTCCGCACGAGACCGTGATTTCAATTGGAAGAATTATCCACGCCGTCACCCACACCGACTTTCGCTGAGGGCATTCCCAAGTGGTTCAATTCGACATGAAATCAGGCCATTCAGGACTTGTTTTGCAGTGCATATTGCCCTAAGGGTCATCAAGTATAGATGGCCATACATAGCGAAACCAGATGATCTGTCATTCAGGGGTTAGCCGGTCCGCACGGGATTTATTTTCCGAGATGTGACTTACAGGCCAACAAACAAATGACCAGCAGGAAGCACACCATGTAGATTGGCACTCCGGGAGACCCTGATGAAATGGCGATGATCGGAACCTGTCGTCTGACTAATCTTTCCGTTGCCGGTAAGTTTGAGAAGGGGGTGTTGACGCGGCCAGGCGTGATCGTCCCATCGGTAGGTAAATCGGGATACGTGTATTCGGGTGGCGGATCTTGACTGTCTGATTCGTGTCGGACGTGCACACCGGGAGTCGAAAGTCCATTTTGATAGATGGTTATCCTCTCTGAAGTCATAATTTCGAGTAACCTGATAGAACGGAGATCGCTGGATGAAGCAGCTTTTCTATTTGGTATGGCTTCGTGTGTCTCCACCCAGGGGAAGTTTGTGAGCTTTATATGTTTAGTTCCAACGTGTGACAGCCCCTGAGCGCCTTCCTGGTTTCTAATGCCCTGGGCGAATGACACGCTGAATTGAGGCAACACTCATCGCGGCTAGTGGCATCTACCTCTCCTGCTCGGGTTTGTTTGTTTGTTTGTTTGTTTAATATTTAACGCCATGGCGGCAAGGGCGCGGCCGCCCTTGCGGCAGACCTCCCGAAGGGTATGTGGCGTGGAGGGCCGCAGGCTCTAGCTATATACTCTGTAGTACACGCCTCTTCC